TATCAAAATTATATTAAGTCCAAAATGAATAAGTTCACTTTAAAAACAGCAATTGGACTTTCATTTAAGCTTAAATAAATAATCTTTAAAGATAGATTTGGCTTGAGAAATATGCAAACAAAGAAAGGTTTGTTTAAGCTTTGAAAATCATATTATTTATTTAGTACCAAAATATAAAACTTAAGAACATGTACTAAATAAATCCTTTTTCAAAATCTTGATCAAGTTTATTTAACTTTAATGTTTTGTCATTTCAAAATAAAGATCAATTCAAGGTTAACACTCTCCCCCTTTTTGATATGACAAAACTTAAAGATAAAGTTGCTTGATGAAAAGCTTTCTTTGAAACATTTTAGGATTTTGAAAAACACTTTGGAAAAACTCCCCCTTAATCAATGCATCCTAATCCAATGGCAAAACTCCCCCTCACTTTATGCATCCTAATCCAATACAACTCAACTAACATATGTTAGATCACATATAGCAATTAAGCACACATAAACATATGTATATCAAGCACAAGCAAAATTGTCTATATGATATTTCTCCCCCTTTTTGTCATAGCAAAAAGGCATGAGCAAATTAATGAGCAAATAAACACAAAGAGGAAATATCAATTGCAATAAGCATACTATCTCTAAACTCTCTCCCCCTTTTTGTCATTTCAAAAGAAAGAGAGATCAATTCAAGGCATAAGACAAAATGCTTAATACCAATAATATCAAGAGTATTTTGAATGCAAGTAATCAAGTGTAATATGCACAACGAAGTTCATATACATGTATTCAAGTACAAAAGTATAAGTGTATCCAAATTTGGCATTTTAGCACAAGTCATCATATTTGCTACATGAAATTTATGAGCAAAGGATAATGAATGATATGCAATCTACTCATAAATCATGTTATCATAATATGTGCTTAGAACTTAAAACATCAATAGCAATTAAGCATAAATTCAAGCATATGCATCCAAGCTCATACCAATTGTTAAGGATACCAATTGTTAAAGATATGTCATCAAGAAGCATACCAATTGTTATCACAAAACAAATCAAGCAAAATTGTATTCTAATATTGCTCCTTATTTCTGGACATTAGCTTTAATGTTTTGTCATTTCAAAATAAGGATCAATTCAAGGTTAACAGATAACTTAGCTATAAATTAGTGATAATTTAGTATAAATTAATAATGATTTAGTTGTAAATTAGTTAATTATTAACAACTTCTAAGTAAATCATCAATAACTTTACAATAAATTAGTAATAATTTTATAATAAATTATAGTAAATTAGTAATAACTTTATAATAAATTATCTATAACTTAATAGTAAATTATCAATAATTTAGTAGTAAATCATTTATAACTTAATAGTAAATCATCTATAACTTAGTGATAAATTAATGATAATTTAAAAGTAATCAGTGATAAGATAGTAATATGTAATTGATAACTTATTTGTTAATTAGTGATAATATTTTTCTATACTTGAAGTTACCAGTGATTGAACCTTGGTTACTAGAAAGAGCAAAGCTAGAACTTTTATCATTAGGAACTAGAATAGACCTACCATGAACTTATTCATTAAAAAAATTTAGTAAAAAAATTCTAAATTTGAATGAAACAATGATGTTATTATATAAAAAGAAAATTATCTCATATATTAATAGTAAAGCATAAATAACTTAGTAGTAATTCAATTTATAACTTAGTAGTAAATAATTAATAACTTAATATCTAATTATTAAAAAATTAGTAATTGATCAATGGTAATTAGTAAATGCATAATAATATAGTAGTAAATTATTGAATTTAGTAGTAAATCACTAATAACATACTAATAAATCATTTATAATTTAGTTGTATATCAATGATAATTTAGTAATAAATTAGTTAATCATTAATAATTGTATAGCAAATCATTTATAACTTCATAGAAAATTAGTTATAACTTTATAATAAATTATCAATAACTTAGTAGTAAATTATTCATAACTTAATAGTAAATTATTGATAATTTAATAATAAATCATTAATAATATAATAATAAATTAGTTATAATAATATATCAGTGTTAACTTAGTCGTAATTTATTGATAACTTAATGATAAATTAGTTATAACTAAGTTGTAAATAAGTGATAACAATAAATTAATGATAATTTATAATAAATCAATTTTAGCTTAGTAGTAAAGTATGGATAACTTAACAATAAACTATTCATATTTTAATAGTAAATTAGTGATATAATTTAGTAGTAAATCATTTCTAACTTATTAATTTTTTTTTTGTTTTGGTTGAATATTAATATGGAGCTATATTTTTTTAATATGTGTAACATATTTGATTCATTTAAAAAATTATATTTATTGCCATTTAATACCAAGGTATTGAATTACAAATATTTGTGGATATTATACACATATATAAATGATTAAAACAATATTCATATACCAATTACTATAACAACATAATTTTATTGAAAAAAAAAATCAATTTTTGAAGTGAAAATTTGAAATGACTTTATCTAAATTTGTATGTCATTGATTGTCTACTTGATAATAAATTAATAGTAACTAGAGTAATGCTATATCTTTACTAAAAATAAATTGTTGTGTTATGTGGTATCCTTTATAACGCTAATAGCAACTATATAAAAAATTATTGTCTTTAAAGATATTTTTAAAATGAAAGAAAGAAATAATGAGTCCAAATTTATTAGAAAACGCCATAGAAAAATTCTGTATAAGTTATTTTCTCAAGTACATAATATTTTAAATTAAAATACCTGATTTAATAATACTAATAATAGTATGAATTCTATAAATTATAATTTTATAATAATATCGGTTAAATGATGAATTTTTTGTATGACTTATACTAAATATATGATTAAGTATTCATCAAGTAAAGAAATTACTCTATTTTAATTAAAAAAGAGTTCAAATATTAAAAATATATTCATTATCAATTTTAAAGTCAAGATTTAAAACATAGTTTACCTTCAAAATATAATAATATCTTTTGATATTTATCTAAAATAAGTCATATCTTATTAATTTTAGAATTATTATATTTTGTTATTTAACAAACAATAATAATATTGAACCAAATTAATTGAGAGGAGTATTTCAATATTTAAAGAACAACATAAAAATACCATTTGATTATGATAAGATATATCTTTAAGTAAAGTGTGTTATTTAAACTTTTATTATAACATATTTTAGTAAGTTATACATATTTGTGGCTCTTTAAGAAACCAATATTCGATATTAAAAGTAGTTTTAGTCAATATCCCTTCCAAATACATAAATAAACATCATTGATGATTACATCGAGATATTAATAATTCTTGATTGCTTCAAATCCTTTTTTTTAGAATATGTTTATGTAATATTTTTTAATTAGTAAAATTCATATAAGTATGCAATTTTTTACCATAAAATTAAACTACAAAATGATTTATATGACATAATTAAGTACATATCAAAATCAGAGGTAAGTGATCATGAAAAAGAAAACATCATATATTTACTTTATTTCAAGCAACAAAAACTTTATAACAAAATATTTCAAATCAAAATAAAGAATTTAAATTTTAAATAGGAAATAGATAAAAAGCAAGAGTTTAAATAAGTTCAACAATGATTGATTGCCTCAAAAATTTATAAAATTGAAAATAAAAATCCACTACAAAAAATGTTTTAAAAAAAGCTCGAGAAAAAATATAAAATAAATAAGAAATGAAAGTACAAAATCGAATTCGATTGTGGTAGAAGATAATCTTCTGAAAAAATTTAAAAAGAAAGAAAAATATATAAACAATGAATGAAGATGATGATCTAAAAACACAAGACTTAAAACAAGTCAAAATAGAGAAAGATTAAATATTTATTTTTTATTGAAATTTTAATTAAAATTTTTTGTTGTATTTATTTTTTTAAAACTTAAATTTATATTTTCAATTTAATCTAGTATGATGATAGTTATTTCAATTTTATTACTATAAAAGTAATAAAATTATTTTATTATTTTAAAATTATAATTTGATTAACAATTACGTACATAGCACGTGAAAAAAAACTAGTATATATATAAATATATATATATATATATATATATAGATAGAGAGCAGTTTCATGTATGTATTTTCAATTTTGTACATCTTGAATTACAAAATAAGATGTAATTCTGTCATCCTATGAATTATAATTTTCAGGATTCTAGCTAGTATCAAATTCTCAAATTAGAAATTCAAGTTCTAAAAATTGGAATGTTACATTTAAGATTAACATAACTTTTGTTTGTTTTAAAAAAAAAAAAAATGGTAGTAAATTGTTATATTTTTATAACTAAATTGAACCTTATACACATTGAATCATGACAATTTTTTTCTTTTTACCTCGGTGTAACAAACTGTTTCAAAATAGAACTTTTATATGAGCAAGTTCTTTTGACAGAGTTAGAGATTAGGGGATTCTTTATAAATCTTTTATTTACATTGTATTGTTCTTTGATTCTTGCTGTATAGGGTGTTAGTTACTGCATAGTATTTTTTTTTTTAATAAAAAGGTGAAGAATAAGAAAAATAATTGCAAATGTTAAATTTTAAGTTCAAACTTATTAACTATTACTTCTTAAAAACAAATATTTGAATTCACTGCATAGTAGCAGATTATTCTCTGCTTTCTTGTACAAATAAAATTTCTCATTTATCCAATCCGATCATCACCTTGACGCCTTTATTTCCGGAGCATGTGAATTTGGTTGACTGTAATAAAGCCACTTAAAATTAATAATACCTACAATACGCAATTTTGTATACATTGAACGATTTCAACCTGTCAGATTTAGTTTATATGTTCCTAAAAGTCAACCAATTCTTTAATACTCATTTAATTTCGATTTTGACTTCTCTATCTGATTACATCGGCTTCACAATTCTGTATTTCAGGCTCCGTAACAGCAGATTAATTCTGGCAACGCTAGCCAGAGATTAGTTCTTCTTAAAAGCACCAAGCATTTCTAGAAGCTTGATTATTCCCTCATGTGTTCCCTGGGATTTTGTCAGCAACTCTGCAAAGAATGTGAGAAAAGAAAATTAGCCTTATGTATAGCAACCAATGAATTTGAGACTTCCTATATATGAAGGAATGGTGAAGCTATCATTGAGGATTGTAGAAAAATAACTTCGCTAATAAAATGATTTGATTGGAAAATGTTATAACATACGTTCAGCTGCAAAAGGGAAGCTGTCAAAAACACTGCTTACTGCCTTCAATAGTTTCTGCAAAGTAACAAAAATGAGACAACATAAAAAACTTGGGAGCAGATGGAAATTTTTTAATCAAATATATATATATATATGTTCTGTTGTAATTTCATACCAGCACCAAATCTCCAGGTTTCACCGGTAATTCTTCCACTCCGGTGATTTTGCTGCATATAATTAACAAGTTGTCATTTCCAGAATCCAGATTCATTTCCTTTTTTAGCAAAGAAACTCTGTTTCATTTGCTTAGACATTACAATTTAATTTCAGATGGCAGAAGTTGTACCTGATAATAAGCTTTCCATCAACCTGTTGACATTCAAAGAAATTGCAACCATTCGTAAATGGTAACTCTTTGCCTTTCCATTCTACAAGAAATTGAACTAGTGTAATTATTCTTATATCTTTTTTTTAATTAAGCAGTTCTACTGCAGAGTTCTTGGGTACTATCAAGTATATCCTTTTTTTGGGTCGGTCTAAGCAAATTTATCCATACCGAACATAGCAAATTTATGAAAAATTACTTGTCTACTACCTCCTGGCAGATTAGAATAGAAGGAACAAAGAAATGAACACATTCTCTCAATTGAACTAGCCAACCGTCTGTTGGTAATTGGTCTTATATCATGTATAAGGAATTCAGCTAAGAAATCATTTCAGGTATGATTATCCCTTTCTCTGTTTCTATAATATTTTTTCCACGCATAATTAAAGAAAAGGGCCTCCAGCTGGTTTAAAAACCTGATTAATATAGGTCGTTCAGGGCTGGGATCAAAGTTGGAACCAAGCATAGGCTAACCTAGATTTATAAGGATGGATTGGACAAATTAAAATGAAAGGTCTGCAATGCTAACCTAGATGCCAAATTACACTCGCAGTTAAGTTCTCGCCTTCCATCCAACTATCAATGACAAAATGAACATTTTGTCCCATTGCATCCATTAGTTCTTGCACAAAGTTAATGATACTCTGCAAACAGCAATATCAGACTGATTTCAGTTGTACATTTTGGTTACTGGAGAAAGATAATACTAGACTAGAGGCAACATTTAATCAAGTGTCTACAAAAGAAGTTACAGAACGTTTAAAGAGGTTAAAGAAATACCTGTTTTCCGCTAAAGGGAATGTAAAATATGAGGTCCTGGAATAGACAATCATGTGAAAGAAGTTGGTCCAATTTTTGGGTGTCCTTGACGTTGATGGCACTATAGAAATCCTGGACCAAGTCTAATACTGATGGCGTGGACCACTGGGGAGCAATCCCACATGACCCATCATTACTGCAATAGACCCTCCATTGTTTTTCTTTTCTCTTATTGTCATATAAATTCGGTTGATTCTCGCCATCTATTGATAGTTGTGAAAATGTGGCTTTATAGTTGGGCTGTTTTGTGACTAGGTTGATGGAATGCCTAGTATTGCCTGGTTGAACAATAGATAATGCCTTGAAGTTCCTCTTTTGGCCCAGGCAAGATCCTAAACAATATTGAACAGAAGCCATGACAGACGAGAAGAAGAAGTAGATTTTAATTGCATTTGATGATGTCTTAAAGATACCATATTTGAGGTATTCATTCTAAGATTGTCAACTAGGCAAAGAATTTATGTTGCTTTTCTTCTTGGTAAGGACAATAGCTTTTCATGCAAGACCAAGAGGGAGTTCTGGATGCATCATGTGTTTGGGATTAAGTTACACCACATGCCAGCGGAAAAGAATTTCTTGTTCAAAGCACATATGGGCCCTGGAAGGCTGGGCCCCTAGCCTTTAATTCTTTGAAATTGAGTTAAACTAGGATTCTAGCCTTTACTATTTCTTAAATTTCACTCTTTCTTAAGCTACAAATATCAACTTCAAATCCAAAGTCTTGTGATTTTTATACTGTGATATTTTATTGCTACATAATTGGTCTAGTTGGTACTACACTTCAGAACACTATTAAAAAAACTAGGATCTGATATGTACATGGATGGATGCATCATGTATCAAAGAATAAGTCAGTCAGGTCAGCCGATTTGATTTTGGAAAATCAAAAATTGACTTAATTAACCTTTTTTAAAAATAATTGACTGACTTATTTTTTTTATAATAAAAATAATTGAATCGGCATAAGATCAACCGGCTCGATTAAAAAATAAAAAATTTTCACTATTCTTTTGTTATCAGTTTTAAATAGTAATTTTGCAATAATTTTCATCCAATAAACTCACTTTATAATTTTACTACTAATATCAATTTCGCCATTCTTAAAAATACAAATAAAAATATTTTTTATATTTATTTGTATAATATATTTAATAATTTATTAAAAAAAGTTAATTCAATCAATTTAATTATTAATTATAAAAATAAAAAACCAATTAAATTAATTTATTTAACCAACAATTATTGAAACCACATTAATTTGATGAAATTCAATTAATTTCGATCAATCAAGGCGATTGGAAACGATCTATACGCCCTTTATTAATCAAGCATACAAGCCTTTTGGCGGACTACTTCGGCTGAAACGGGCCATATATAAAAGAAGTTTTCCTTTTTTTTTTTTTTATAGAAATTAGCAATATATCCACACTATCCTATGGATTTAAAATTTTTTTAATTTGCATTTGATAGTATTGAATTTAATAAATTAATGACTATAATTTTGTTTATAGTTTTTGAATAAAAACAATAATTATTGAAAATATATCACTTAATATGAGGATAATATATGTTTTTCATCCTCGTAACTTGTATAACAAATTTAAATATAAATTCATTCCTTCAAATTTATTTTTTTAAATGTAGTTAAAAATATTAAAATAAATTATTAAAAAAAGGCAAAAATTAAAAGAAAGAGTTAATAACATGTGTGGTCCTTAAATTTTGGATTAAATTTTATATTGATCCTTAAATTTTAAAATATTTTAATTAAGTCCCTAAACTTTAAAACGTGTGTTAATATAGTCCATTTGTCTACTGAACCATCTAAATTGACGATAAATACTACATGGCATGACATATAATCTTTCAAACTTTTATTACATGGCATATAAATAAGAAAAGGTATGTATGAAAACCCAAAACCTAAACCTTTGCTGTTGTTGTAGGCACGGCTGCTCTTTCTTGCTTATTCTTTCTCATCCAATAATGGGCGTTAAGGGTTTAATGAAGCTTCTCAGGGTAGATGCTATTGAGGATTTATAAGAAGCCATGGAGACTAGAAATCAGGACAATTTTGGTGAATGAAAATGGGTTCAACAGTGATAGAGTGACAAAGGCAATAGAAAAAATTAAAGCAACTAAGAACAAGTTATCATAGGCCCAATTAGAGTCATTTTTTAAGCCAGTTGCTAACATATCTACACCAATTAAACGAAAGGAAATACCAAAGAACATCCCTAAAAACCTATTAACAAAATGCTGGAGGCCAGTAAAGGTAAGATAAAGAAGTAGTTGAATGGTGGATGAGTAACTGCATTGGATAAGTTTTTGCTAGAGGAAGAATGCAAGTTAAAGTTGTACACATTCCCATTTTAAGAGCTTAAGCTAAGTGTTTGAGAGAGATGTTTGTAGTGGCAAATTGATGTAATCTAAACTCTTAAAACCATGGTTTGCTATTAAAACAATGTTGTGCAACTTATTTTCTTATTCACATTTGAAAGCTTTTGGTGTGGCATAAGCATGGTATAATTTTAATTTTGTAATGAGAAATGGGCTATACAGCCCATCACCTCTACCAAAAAAAAAAAAAGGTATATGGGTGAGTTGACTTAAAGTTCAAAACCCTTCATGAATGAGTTATCAAAGCCTTTTAAACCATATGGAAATCAAATCTATACCCATTTATCCAAATCAAATCATAAAAGAATCCATTAAAAAAATCCAATTCTTTTTGCATTTCACTAAACAGAATTCAGAGCCAAATCATTTAAATGGAAAAAAAATAGTTTTTCTCACAATGAATAGGCATCTTTCATGAACATCCATAAGAACAACTTTACCTTTATCACAGTTAGAATTGTATGAATAGACTCAGAAAACTAAAAGGCCTTTACGATCATAAATAGTGAAGCCATTGTTGGTGAAAAAAAGAAAAGTTTTGAGAATATTGAAATGTTTATCTTCTTCATAAATACAATTACCATCTATAACTAAACATGCTTTCATTTTGTTCCCCTACAATACTATTAACCCTTCTCTTTTTCTTCTTCTTGTTAAACTTTTCCTCCCTTAGAATCCAGGGCCTCCGATTTGGAGCAAAAAAAAACAAAAAAGAAAAGACTCTTCGCTCTTTCATAGTAAAATTTACTTTTTCTAGTTTTTTATTTTATCTAGTCAAATTTGTTTTTTTAGTCTTCAAAGTTTGTCACATAATAAAAGTTTGGAAGATTATGTGCCATGTCACGTAAGATTTAACTATCAATTTAAATGATTCAATAGATGGAGGGATCGCATTAACACACGTTTTACGGTTTAAGGATTCAATTAGAACTTTTAAAGTTTAAGGACCAATATAAGATTTAGGCTATAGTTTAAGGACCAGACGTGCTATTAACAAAAAAAAAGGAAAAAAAGTCCCAAGCCAAAGGAAAAAAAATGAAAAAGAGCCAAATAAAGAAATAAAGATACCAAATGGACACTTGCACTTAATGATGGTAATGGGTCAAGTAGGGTTGGATTTATGTTTATCCTAACTTCAACTCAATATTGGGTTATTATTTTTTATACATAATTCTAGCTCAACATATATATGTATAATCTGCATCCAATTTGACTTGACCAAAAATTAATTCAATAGTATAAATTCATGAAATAAACATTTCCAATATAAGTTACATCTTAATTAAATATAAATATAGTATTTTATTAAATAAATGTATTAAATAAAAACTTTTTAAATATAATATATATAATCAAATTAAATAGTTAAAATATATATTCTTATATAAATACACTGAGACAAGGTGGGACAAAGCATTTTAATCCTACCTTCGACCCGACCTTCGATTTTCAAGAAGGGAAATGCATCTTACCTTAACCCGACTTTGATTTTAAAAAATTATCCTTATTAGATTGATGGATTAAAACCAATCGAATGTGTTATTTTGACATCTCAACCTCCCCTAACTTCATCTTTTAAAAAAAGAAATTATTTTGTTTAAAAATAGAAAAAAACTAAAATAAAAGATAAATGGAAGGGCTGAAAGAAGAAAAAAAAAAGGAAATTGGGGTGCCGCATGAAGACTTCTATAGCCATTTTTTTTTCAAAACATAAATAAAAAATACTAAAATAGATAATTAAAAAAAAGTCAAAACTAAAAAAAAAAAAAACCAACCCAAGAAAGAAAAATGCCAAATTAATAAGGGTGCTTAATGGACATAACCATTTAAGAATGACAACTTGTCGATATAGGTTTATGGTCACTTCGAGTCTTATCTATCTTTTCAATAATTCAACCCCACTTCAACTTTTACTCAACATTGAGTTATTAATTATTAATACCTAATCCAGACCTGTCATACATACACACATACACACACATATATATAATCCATATTCTACCTAAATAGATCAAAAACTAATTCAATAATTTTAATTTAGCATAATGTCTATAAAAATATTATTTTTAATATAAATTATATCTTAATTATGTATAAATATGATTTTTTATTAGAATAAAGTATTAAATAATAACTTTATTAATATAATATATATATAAAATAAATTTAATAAATAATCAAATATTTTTTTAATATACTCAGGACAAGATAGAACACCCTAAACTCATTATTGACTCGAACTTGATTTTTAAAAGAACCTCAACCCGATCTCAAATTAAAAAAGCTGTATCTATTGAATTAGGGAGAATCAAAATCCATGGGATATCAGTTGTTTTATCAATCCTATCTTCATTGATTTTTTTCTTATAAAATTTATCTAATTAAAAAGTTAAAAACTAAAAAACAAAAACAAAAAAAATGGAAAAAATGAAGCCAAATGGGGTATTATGCAGATTTATTAAATTAAAGTATTAAATAATATTTTTTAATATAATACATAAATTTAAATATAAAATTAAATAAATAATATTTTTATATATACCCAAGATATGACAGAATACTTTAAATTCATCTCTGACGTAACCTTGATTTTCTAAAAGGAAAAAACTTCGATACGATCTTGACTTAAAAAAATGCACCAATTAAATTAAGATGAATCAAAACCAATTGAAAACAAATTATTTTATCATCTTACCTCTATTAACTTTTTTTTTCAAAATTTATCCAATACAAAAACAAAAATTAAAAAGTAAAAGGTAAAAAGTAAAAATTAAAAAACAAAAGATAAAAAAATTAAAAATATATAAAATTTGAAGGGAAGGTGGAATGCAATATGAACACCTTATCTTCATCCAAAAATCTATAAAATTTATTTAATAAAAATAAATAATTAAAAAAATTAAAATATATATAGATTATGGAGTAAATGTAGGGTGCCACATGGACACCTTCATCTT